GAAGGATGGGGAGAAGGAATCCTTGCGTGATGTAAATTAGGCCCAGGTTGCTATGGAAGGCAGCGAGAACTTTCCTCAAAAAAAACTAACAGCTGCTCTGCCACCTGACTCAGGTGTACCAATCCCAAAGGAATCAGATCAGCCTACGATGGAGACGCCGCACACCCGTGTCTACCATCGCACGATCACAACAGTGCCCACCAAACGATGAACGCATGAAGAATATGTGCTGTCTGTACGAATTGGACGATTATCTAGCCACAAAGAAGAACGAAACGATGGCATTTGCAGGAGAATGGATGGAGCTAGAGACCAATATTAATCGAAGTATGACTAAGAAGATATTATCATGTTTTCTCATATATGGAGAATGAGAAGCGAAAGACGTGAAAGTTTAGTGGGGGGGATGTTAGAGAAGATGGAGACTGGGGAGGGGAAGGGAAGAGAAGGGTAGTTAGAGGTGGAGATGATCAAGTACATTATAAGAATGTCTGAAGAAGTTACAACATGAATTAGTAAACATTTCATGACCAAACCAGGAGGAGCAACATGAGTCACAGGAGCTCTTGAAAGAACACAGAATATGGAGCAGAAGTGATCAATGGAAAGTTGAGACTACTTCCTTGAAGTGAGGGACGAGCGCTTACAGATGGAAAGGGGCCACAAACTGCTGAGCGTAACAGAGCCGTGCCACGGTACAGCGTCATGATGCTTGTAAAACTAAGAAAACTAATACGGCAAGGTGGGGAGAGGTAGGGAAAGGGGGAACAGAGGCAGGGAGAGGAGGAGAGAGAGAAATGAGAGACAGAGAGAGAGATGAGAGGAGGGGAGAAGAAAAAAGAGAAGAGCAGAGGAAAACAGTGGTGGACATAACAGGAACTGCAGAAATTAGAAGGTAGAAACACCTTTAAAAGGTTATTAAGCATATGGATCAAGGCGGAAGAGAGTCAAAGACATTTTCAGCTTCGTGAGAATTCCATGTTTCCTGTCTCCTTCTCAGGAAGCGATTAGAGTGTGCTGGTCCCAAAACGAGGAGTCCAAGCAGGAGGAAGGCAGAAGACTAAGAAGAGGACTCCAGTCAGGCAAGATGCAGGGAAGGTCAGGATGCCGGTGACGATGGGTAGTGGATGACTCAGCACAGGCCAGGCCAGGGGAGGCTCTGGAGAGGCCACCCAGGAGACCTGCGTGAAAATACTGCCAGCCGAGCAGACCTGTGGAGCTGAATCGGTGAAGGGACACAGAAAACTGAGCAAAGCAAGCCAGTACAAGAAGCTTTTAGGGCTTCTGGTAAAGCAGGAAGCTGCGCAGGAAAGCAGCCCATCTGTCCCGTGTGGCTGAGCTGAGTGGGGACTTTCTGCCTAGACCCCAGAGTCTGGGCAGAGGCTGGGGGTTCCGTTGGAGCCTGCTGTGGGGAACACAATGAGCCCAGCTCTGTGCACAGCTGCTCTGGCAGCAGCTCGGGTCAGCACAGCCGCCCAACACCAGGGCTCAACGGTCGGGGGAAGGCGTTTCAGTTCAGCCTTTAACAAGCACTGGTCTTCAAACTGATGCTGAAACGGTGTTACAAAAGAATAAACCTGGGCTGGGGGCTGCTCCAGGGGTACAGCTAGCCTAGTACAAGGAGACCCTGGATTCCAGCCTCAGCAGCCTTTGGGGCATGGAGGGCCATGTATTTAGAGAAACCTTCCATCCACGTGGATGTACTAAGTAGGAAAATGTGCAAAGGTCCCAGGAAACAACAGAAGCATAAAGAACACGTTACTACAGTTAGTATGAGGATACAAGAATCACGGGAAGGCAAAGAATTGCAAAGAAGCCGCAGGGTTCATTAAATGTCAGAGACGAACCAGTGGCAAGTGGACCCACCCCACTCTACTACACCACGGCAGACATGTCACCCCATGAAGGAATGCCTCTGCACGATCAACACTTTCTTCAACATAGTGCTGCAGGGAGCTGCTGCTAACCCAATGAGTAGGAACTCGTCTACCACAACAGCAAATCCCACGGCCACCGATGAAGTTGCCACAGTCAAAAATTAATTACGTTGAGCTCTCGGTTAGTCCAGAAGCTCCCAGAAGATGGAACAGGTTTTCCTGGACACCTGAGATCCTGACACATCTGCTATGTGGGCCGCTCTCTCGATTAGACCCTGACACTCTCGGCCACCAAGGATCCAGAACTCCAGAGGAGAGGGTGGCATGCAATCCCAGACTGGAGAAGATGGCTGAATACACCGTCACCTGACGTTTGCAGATGAGCTCGGTGACGACGTGAATGTAGGGCTGCAGCGCATAGATGTGAGGGATGCGTCAGTGGGACATGGAGGCGGGAAGAAGAAACAGACCCAACAGAGGAGGCTGGGAGGGCCTGGCCCGAGGTAGTCCTCCCAGCACGAGGCAAAACTCACAGCAACATGCCATGTCACTATGTCGTCTCCTTCTCTACTTTGTCACCAATGTGACTGTCATGTGTGACGTTCTAAGAAACCTGCACATCCTACTGACCACCCGTGAGGAAAGGCCATCGCTCCTCAGGCTTCTCACTACTCTGTCCAGAAGTAATGACCCACAATTTCTCAAGATTTGGAGGTAGGGGAGCCAATACCCAGGACCACCTGCTCCGGTGGTCACCTGGATTTCTAAGAAACCCACTGCCTGTTTGCTTCATGAACCCCTTCAAGGCCACCATCCTTGCACTAGCAGAATCACCAGTGGCTCTAAGCAAAGGGCTTTTAGCAAATCAGGAGGTCAGGAAGGCCAAAGCTTCTTCCTGACACAGGAACAGAGAGACAGGAGAGTATTTCAGAGTTAATAAACCAGGTTATAATTTAATATAAGTGAGTGCAGACAAAGAAAGGCTCTTTAGTCTAAGGAAAATTAGGTGCTTTTTGGTTTTTGTTCTTTTGGCAGTACTAGGGTTTGAACTCAGGGGCTCATGGTTGCTAGGCAGGTGCCCTTCTTACTTGAGCCACTCCACCAGCCCTTTTCTGTGATGGGTTCTTTGAGGGTCTTGTGAGCTGTTTGCCCGAGCTGGCTTCAAACCTCGATCCTCCCAATCTCTGCTTACTGAGTAGCCAGCATTACAGGAGTGAACCACCAGCACCCAGCAGAAAACAGCCTTTCGCAACAGCAGAACCTTCCGGCATTGGGGGGAGGAATGCACTGGGTTGGGTGTTAATTTGGGTACCCTAACAGCTGACAGCACTGTGAGCTCTGGGGCAGCCTTCAAAGCTCATCGCCCTATTAAACTGAGACGAGTGCATGCTGGGTCAGAGGCCAGGCACGGTTCTGGGTCTGGAAGCCTGGTGGTTCTGCTGGGCCGCGGTGACACAGCACAATTCGACTGACCTCTCAGCTGACACTTGGAATATAAAATTGTGAAAGCCAAAATGGTGTAAAGAAGTCATAAAAATGGGCATAAAACATTTCGTGGATTAAGGTATAAATATGAAGTATCGCTCTTTGCTAAGAAGAAGACAGACAAAACTGGGAAGAAAGCAACCACCACCCCATAAACAAACAGCCTCAAGACATGCACTACACCTAATTCAAGTAATTCTTCACCTCAAATGTAGCAGGAAGGGAGGAAGAAATGACTGCTTCTACAATGGAACAAAGGTTCAAAGGGAAAACCTGCCCCAGCAACACAAATGGAAAAGCAAAAATCAGCCTCCCAGCCTAGAAGAAACTTATTTTGGTTATGGGAATGCGGGTTCTATTTAACAACAAAATTTGTAAATTTCTCTTGCTTATATTTTCATTACAACTAGTGCAATGAACAAGTCAGGCCAAGGAGTTAACTCTTACTTCACACAGCCATTTTTCTCATCATAGTTTTTTTTCTCAGCCAGTCGAAGTGACTTCTCATTTGACTTCTGACTTAAAGCACTAGAAATCAAAACACAGAAAAAGTTATTAAATTTGTGAACCCTTTATCTGCAATTCTGAAAATATGTTAGTTTTGGGGAAAATGTTATGCATCTTAGATGATCTACCTAAGTGATTTTCTGCAAGAAGCTTTCAGAACCTGGAGGAATGAAAGCAGGCCTGACACTGTGCTGCTGGCCACATGGCCTGTACGCTGAAACACACTAGACACGCTGGACAGGGAACAGGGCAGCAGGAAAGGAGGAAAAGCCTGAGGACAAACAGAATCCTGCGCACTTCCTCTTCCTGTTGGTGATGACTGAGGGAGGCCTGAGACATGGGACTCCGTGCAGAGACATGAAAATTCTGAGAGGGCTGGAGGTGTGGCTCAGGCAGTAGTGTGCTTCTCTAGCAAGCATGAAGCCCCAATTCAAACCCCAGTGCTACCAAGACAATAAATACTGAAAGAATAATTTCAATACATGGACTCCATAGCTTTATTCCTGTGGGTAGAGAAACAGCACAGCCCATTACAGCCCTAGCCGGTAGTCTGTGAAGGTCTGGAAGGGTCCGCCCCAGAATATGGGGTGAAAAGCAGCAAGAGCAGCTGCGGAGCAAAGGCATTTCTCCTGCAGGAGGCTCTCGCCCAGCCCAGCCCAGCCCAGCCCAGCCTAGCCCACCACTGTGTCCCTCAGCCCATGCTAGCAGCTTCTGGGATATAGAAAAACAACTAGGACATGACGTGTGCTTTCTTAGGGATTTCTGGAATTAGAGCAGCAAGAAGTTTGAGACTGTGGCATCTGAGTTCAGGATGGGAAAGGTTGATCAATGGGCACTAAGGTATACTTAGAACGTTCTGGTACTGTACTGCACAGCACGAGTGACTGCACATACAGGCTTTGGGGTCCTTGGGGTCGTGGAACCAATACCCAAGACAGAGATATGACTACCAAAGACGCTACGGACAGCTAAGGCTCTGGGCGAGCTGAGCCAACTTTGGAATCCTACCTTGCTCCTGGTATATCTGGATCAGCATAGATGGTGTGCCTCTTTTTGTTGGCCAGTACACTGAGGACTCAAGACACTGTAACAGAAAGAGCATGAAACCTGACAAGATCTCTATCCCGTGCAGGTGACCTTCAGTTGGAGTGACCCCTTCACAGCCATTCCCATGACCCGCGTGCACAGACCAGCGTGCCGTTGAGGTCATCTCTAGACTGAATACCCAGGGACTTCAGCAGACCCCTGCATTGCAGACAAGCAGGACTTAAATGTCCTTCCATTACTTTCCCATCCTATCAAAAAAAACCCCAAAAAACTGGAGGTGAGTTAGAACCGAAATGAACTTTTTCCTCATTGTTTAGGTGAGCATAAAGATGCAAGGTTTTCATTTGTTTGTTTTTCTGAGACAGGGCTTCACTATGTAGCCTAGACTGGCCTCAAAGTGCTGGGATTACAGTGTCACTCTAGCTTGGCTAGAGTGCAGTTGGAGTCACCTTCTTGCAAAACAAGCAAATGTGCCAAGTATAGTTTTTCACAAGTGAAAGTATCCTAGCCAACGACAGAAGGATATTCTAACACTCCATGAACTTGCACGCACACTCAAAGACACCACCTTGTTTAAGTCTTTTAAGGAGACTCCCAGCTGCCCCTTTTCTGACTTGTTTTCAGCAGGGTCTCTCCATGGATCCGCAGAGCATTTCACAGCTCTGTCTGCAAAACAAAATGGCAACAAAAGCTACTTTGAAAAAACCCGAGAGCAAACAGGAAGAAAACAAACTTTCAAATCTTACAACGTGAAATTATCCTGGAAGAGAGGTTCACATTGAACTTTCCTCGAGGGGATTGCAGGTAAGAATCTTGCTTTAGCCTTTATTGTTAAGGAGGTTGTAAAAGCTCCCACACCAGCCTACTAAGAATAAAGCCATTTATTTTCCCAACTCATCGGACCGCGTTCCAAGAAGGCCACAGTGCATCTCACGCACGGGGTCCTCTCACGGGGCATCGGATCCCCACTGTGGTGGGGTCTTCCTTGTTCCGAAGGCCCCGACAGCAGCATGATCGGCTCTCCGGCTGGAGCACAGAGTGCCAGGCAATGTCTGCTCCCTCAGCTGCTCGTCTGGACACCTGCCCCACTCTGGGAGAACCCCAACAGCCACAGACAAAGGCTGCTGGTGTCCAGCCGGCAGCCCCACTGAAGCCCAGTCAAAAGGCAGCATGGACTGCCAGAAAGGCCACCGGCAGGCCTTCAGATGAGCCCAGAATTGGGAGCTGCCTTTCTCGGCTGCTGACCACAGAACCTAGAATGGGGGAAAAGGGGCACCGTTTCGCAGCACCCCATTTGAGGAAGTGTAGAGATAGAAATACAACTGAATACCAACTGTAACTCAGATCCAGCCATGGTTGAGGACCACAGCTCCGTATTTCACCTCTAAACTGCACAGTAGATAGACAAGGTACTAGACAACAGGCCAAATTTTAACCTAGAAGTATTAAAATTCTACATGAAGAAAAAGAAAACATTAAAAAAGTAACAGCAAAAAGAAAATTTAAAACTCAGTCAAAATAGTAAATAAAACTAAAAGGTTCTATTCAGCCATGGTGGCTCGACACCTGCAATCCAGCTACTTGGGAGGCAAAGCTAGGAGAATCATGGTTTGAGGCGAGCCCAGGCAAAACGGTAGCAAGACCCCATTTCAACAAATAAGCTGGGCGTGGTGGAGTACATCTGTAATCCCAGGTACGCAGGAGGCATAGCTGGAAGACTGACAATCCCAGGCTGGCCCTGGGCAAAGTGTGAGACCCTACCTGAAAACTAAGGCGAAAAAGGGTTAACGGTGTGGGTCACGTGGCAGAGCGCCCGCCTAGCAAGTGCAAGGCCCTATGTTCAAACCCCAGTACCACCAAAACTTCCCCCCAAATAAAACCACCTGTGTAGCACAGCATTAAACATCTGAATCCTCTAGACATGAAGTGACGAAAGTCGTTTACAGAGTAATATAGACATCAAGCTGGGTGATTACACTTGGGTAAGACCTGAGGTGTGGCTTCAGGGAAGAGAAAAACAAAGGAAGTGCAGCCTGGCCTTCGTTCCTTAGGAACTACCTGGGCAATCCTAGAGGTGCCCATGCTCAGTGTCAGTGACAGAGCAGGAACTGGAACGAGTTCCACTCCTCTCCTGTCCTTGGATCGGGGCAATGAGAGCGACCACGGGATGTGAGATGCTGCTGCAAGTGGCAGTAACACCACAAGTCTTCATGTCATGTGGTGTTGGGGTCTGGAAGTGTAGCAGGGAGGAGGACAAGAGAAACAGACAGGCCTGTGTTCTGATAAAGGAGCGGGGAAGGGATGGCACAGCAGCGAGATAAAACCTAAAGAATTCAAACGTGAAGAAGGTCACGTAGCACTGGGGGTGAAGCATGGGAGTTACATGCAAACATAGATGGGGAAACCTTGCTTTTTGCCTCTGTAACTTCCTTGCAAGGGGATATAAGGTGAGACCCCTTTGTCCTAGGGGCTCAGCCTGTGGATGTGACTCCACTGAGCTGCTGCTGGCACGCTAGTAAGTATTGCTTCCTGAACAGCCTTGGTGTCCCATGCCTCTGTTTGAGTTTCCGGTAACAGAATTCCATCATCTGTTTGGGGTACAGCTGTTCAGCCCAAGTTATCAACTGACCTGGACCCAGACTGGAGGTGGCAGTTGGAATTCCCCACGTGGACCAGTGCTCAAGCAAACCCCCACCAAGTGCACAGGTACCTCAGTGGCATCGCAGTGATGGAACCATGTGGTGATCGGCAGAGAAGGGAAGCAGCCTGCAAGGACCCGAAACTAAATCTACTTAAGATATCCCAGAGATGGAAGGCAGTTGTCTACAAAGCGACACGGGCAGATGTGACAGACGGGCAAGCGTAAAACGTGAACCAATGAGAACTCTAGCTGGAAACTCAAAAGGCAGAGTAAATACCAGGCTAGAAGCAAAGAGAAAAGTGGTGAACTAAAGAATCAAACTTAAGAGAAGCTCTTGGGGACGTGAGACAACTTGGCTGTGACATGTCCCTGCACTGACCGTCGGGGTTGAATGGGCATCCGTCCAAAGCCTCGAGGCTGGCTGCAGAAAGAGGAGCATCACACATACAGGAGGTTGTTCTCATTCTCAGTGCGTGAGTGCCTGCCCTCTCCTGCTAGAATCTCCAAGCCAGCGCCCAAGAAGCCTTGCAGGTTGCCAGGCTGGGTGCGACATACCTGTAGTCCCAGCTACTCTGGAGGGTGAGGTAGGAGGCTGGTAAGGTAACAGGAACGTACTCACAAGTGCAGTTTTAGCCCACCAACTTACTCAGCTTACCGACCAGCCTGCTTTCCGTTACACAGGTTTACAGACTTTTTTTCTCTACCCCTTCCACTCCCCACCCATGCAAGGGACTTCATAATGTCTTCACAGATCCAGGCAAAACCTCAAGCTCCTCTCACGTCGCTGTCACAGGAATGAAAGATCACCCAGCACCACAGTGAGCAAAGGAGAGTCCAGGAGAGCAGAGGATACAACCTCGGGACGTGTGCCACCACCTGGCCCAGAGTCTCACCTCAGCGAGTACATTCAGAAGCCCGTGTTCTGGGGCTTTCCTTAAAAGCCTGTCAAAATTCATACGCCTTCATTTCCTTTCCTCAAAAACCCTGTGGCTACTTGTGAACTGGAACTACTCCTGGGCATTTTTAGTGGTCACAACTAGGGATTCCATGTGTGTGTCTACATTCCAAAATAAAAACAGTACTGCCTGCATGGAAGCGCATGCCTATAATCCTTTCAGCTACTCAGGAGGCCGAGGCAGGAGATCACGAGTGTGAGGCCAGCCTGGGCCCCTTAGCAACCGCCTGTCCAAAGTGGAAAGAATAAAATAAAAAGGAGTAGGGGGGCAGTTAGCTGAGTAACGGGCAGGAGATCTTGGGTTTGCCCCTCGGTATCACGAAACAAAACAACAAAACCTCGCACTATTGTATTCGAAATGAAGAATGCCTTTGGTGGGCTCGCCTTCACATGGCTGAGGAAAACATTCTCGGAACTTCGGGATCTGTCAAGAGAAACTTCCCCAAAAGAAAAGCAACAGAACAAAGACTTTTAATCATGGAACAGAAGATCCAAGAACTGTGAGACAACTTGCGGAAGGTTCCTATTAGTCTGCTCAGGATGCAAAAGAAACACCACAGACTGGAAGCTTTAAAAATAGAAGCTCATTTCCCACCATTCTGGAGGCGAAATTCCAAGATGAGGTGCTGGTCCACCTGTGTCCAGGTGAAGTTTTGTCAGTGGCAGGTAACAGCCACCTTCTCGCCATAGCGCTTGGGGAGCGCTAGCAAGCTAAGCCACACCTTCCTCTTCTGGTTCGGGTACCGGTCCGGTCCTATCACAGAAGGGCTCCATCGACTTCCTTGCCCTTCATTTCCTCCAAAGATCCTATCTGCAAACACAGCCACACCACACTGGGGCTTCCACATGTGACTTCTGAGAGGTCACCCTTTAGCCCATAGCATGGGTTTTCGTGAAAAAAATAAATAAAATTGTTAAGCGTCTAGATGGGCTAAGAAAAAAGGGGAGAGAGGAAAAAGGCGGGGGATGAAGGAGAATGTAGAAGACAGGGAGGGAGATGTTAGGAAGATAAGGAGTGAAGAAAGGCCATCACAACAGATCCCATGAACATCAAATGGGAATAAAAGATACTCCGTAAGTGTATACATTATGTCGACTGAAACTTTTAAAGCATAGTGATGGACTACCATGCACCGACAAACAGTATGCTCAAAAAATTGATCACCTAGGTACAATCGTCAATTCTTTAAAGGTACAATCTGCAAAAGTCACACATGAAATACAGAACCTGAGTAAGCCTGCCTGAGCTGAAGAAATCAAGTGAATAACAAATGACCATCCAAAACAGCAGTTCCAGGTCCAGGTAGGTTCACTGGTAAATTCTACCAAACACTTAAGGAAGATATTATAGCAACTTTTGAATCTCTTCCGGAAGCCAGAAGCAGGAGAGGAGGTGCTTCCTAACTCAGTCTATGAGGTCAGCATTCGTTACCTTAATAGCAAAATCAAAAAAAGACATCACAAGAGAATTACAGAGTGCAATCTCTCATGAACACAGATACAAAAATCTTGAATAAGATACTGGCAAATCAAATTCAACTCTGTATAAAAAGACCCTGGCAAAAGAGTATGCAGAGACTGAGCAGAAATATTTGGAAAGGAGATTATCTGTTATCCAAAATATACAAGAACCCTTAAAAACTCAACAATAAGAGCACTGGGGGCTTAAGAGCATTTGCCTAGAGAAGACCCTGAGTTCAATCCCTAGCGTCACACACACACACACACAAATAGACAAAAAAAAAAAATTCACAAAAAACCTGAGACACCTCACCACAGAAGCACATGAAAAAGTGCTCTGCATCATACATTACTAGCCAAGAGCAAATTAAAACTGTAAGGCCACTCCAAACCTTTCCAAATGGTATACAGCCCAAGTAGGTGACAACGGGATCAGAGGATGCATCCACAGGGATGGGGGGAGGTGTCAAGTCACAACCTGACCTGGAAGACTGCCCAGCAGAGGGCATCAGAGTTGGGTGTCTCAGGAGTATGGCTGTGCAAAAGGAATAGGAAAGGCGGAAGAAAATCCAACAGTGATTACTTACAATTTTATTTTGAGACACGGTGCTGCTAAGCTGCGCTAGCTGGCCTGAAACCCGCCGTCTTCTTGCCTCAGCCTCCCGTGTAGCTGGGATTCTAGGTGTATAGCACTGCACCTGGCTGGCAAGTGCCTGTTGTTCACATGACAGTAAAACCTCTACGGATTCGGGGCAAATGATCACTGCCAGCGTAAACTGGATTCCATTAAATCGAGGAGGAGACAGAGAGAGACACGGAAAGAGGGGACAAATGGAGAGACGCAGAGAGAATGTAACCATACCCTTGTAAGCAACCTCTACAATCTTTAGGTGACAGAGAAGGGGCTGGAGGTGCAGCTCAGTGGCAGAGCACTCGGTGCGTCTAGGTTCAATCCCCAGCATCGCGTGCACACACACGAGTATTATTTTTGCTGCCTGCGAAATCGAGCAAAGTAGGAAGACTCACCCAGCATTCCAGCAGTTGGCCCGAGGTCACCGACGACACCCTTGCACCAGGAATGCTGAAGAGGCTGTACCAGTAAATCTAAACCACGGGAATCTGAAAGAATGAACTCAAGATGAAAGCATGAAATAAAACACCAAGTAAAGATGTGAGTTCACTCATTCACTTGCTCTACTTTACTTTTGCTGTAAGGGTGCAGGAGACTCAGTAAGGGCTGGTAGGGTGTGAGAAGACTAAAAATCTGAAAGCAGAAAGCGACAGTTAGAACTGTTTCCACAGGAGGGCTGAGCAGCACAGCTCAAGTGCTACAGCACTGGCCTGCCAAGCAGGAGGCCTGGAAATGGAACTCTTGTACTGCCAAAAAAAAACCCCCACAAAACCCAAAGAATTGTTTCCATGGTCCATGACCACCCGCTACTTGACGTTAAGGAAGGGTAACCTGTAATAAACACAGTGCCTCAAATTCTCAGGCTGGAAAACCTTATCTGGTTAAAAATCTTTCAACTCTAAATGTGGGTTTCTGAAAATGGGTGGGTGTTACCAGGAAATCGAGAAGGGGTTTTTCCTAGTTTCATACACACAAACCGTAGCAGCTTAGGACCGGAAAACCTGTCCTACGCTACTACGGATCAAACTTCCATTGTCACACACAGTCTAAGTCTCCACGCAGGGAAAGGCTCTGAACTTCAACTGGACACTCAGATGAGAAAGCAACGTAGAGAAAATACGCACCGGGGAGACCCACTCACTTTTCACTGCTTGAAAATCTCGTCCTTGCCAGAGCATCGGCCACAGAGTCAGGGCTGGGTTCGGTTTACTGGAGAATGATGCTGGCTTTATACTGAATCTTGATTTCTCCAAAGAATCAAGGGTTTTGTTCTGTGTAGGTGACGCATAATAAGCGAAGTTCTTTGCAACAAGATCGTCATTAACACAAACCTGTAAAATGTGAAACGTTTCCTGATCAATCAAATGACTGCAAAGAAAATGCTCTAAACTTAGCCCAAATCTCCATCTTCGTTAAACTGTTTTGTAGAACTGTTTCATAAACAGATCTCTTGGTGACAAAATAGCAAGGATCTGCAAGCAGCACAGAAAGATCTTGGAAGCACGGAGAGCCAGACAACCTGGCCGGACTGGTGGGAGAGTTTGTCAAAACTTCAACCTTGGCCGGGTGCGGAGGCACACACCTCTAGTCCCAGCTGCTCAGGAAGGGCGCGCTCAAACCGTGGAAATGAAGCTGTCTTTGGACCCTTCTCTTCTACAGCTGCATTCACAGCCTTGTACACCCTGCAGCCACACAGCTCAACGCTGTGTGCTCACGGTGTTGATCCCAGCTTCCCCACCCGTCTCAGATGCTGGGCTCCTGCGGCCCGACTGTCACCACCTGAGTGTCTATGCCATGTCTTGAACTTAACGTGTCTAAGGATATTAAGATCGGGATCAACAAAGTATGGAGTTTTAAAGAAAGACAGGACCTACGCAGTACTGGCACCTCACCCACTTGACCTTGATCCCTGCCCTCTGAGAGCCAGTCTTGAAAGAAAATGTTGTTTATTAAGGGCTGCTGGAGTGACTCATTTCTTCACAGATTTTTTGGCCATTTGGTCTTCTTCTTTTCAGAATTATCTGCTCAGTTATTCAATGGGTTGATTCTTTGCAGGGTTTTTTGAGATCCTTTTATTCCGGTTATTAATCCTTTGTCAGATGTACAACTGGCAAAGATTTTCCTCCCGTTCTGTAGGCTGTCTCTGCAGTCTGCTGACTCTCCTTTGCTGTGCACAAGAGTTTGTGTCCTAAGTACCATTTGTCGATCCTTTCTCTTCATTGTTGAACTACTGGACTTCTCTTCATAAAGTTATTACCTGTGCCTATAAGACCCCGTGTGCTTCCTATTTTTTCCTGGACTACTTTCACATTTTCCTATTTTACATAAAATCTTGGATCCGCTTTGAATTGATACTAGTGAAGGTGAGAAACTGGGATCTATTTTCCGTCTTCTACAGGTGGACTTCTAGTTTTCCCTGCACCATCTGTTGCAGAGGCCATCTTTAATGGGACACGTTTGGGCTCCTTTGCTGAAAATCAAATATGGCTGTGCTTGTGTGGGTTTGTTTCTGGGTCTTCTGTGCTGTTCCATTGGTCTTCACGTCTGGTTTTGTGCCAGGACATGCTCCGTTTATTGCTGTGGCTCTGGAGTCTAGTTTAAAAAGCAGGTATTTTACGACACCTCCACTGTTGCCGGTTTTGCTCAAGATTGCTTTGGCTACATGGGACCTTTTGCGCTTCCACAGGATTGAGTTTCTGTCTCTGTGAAGAATGTCAGTGTGGCCACGCGCCTGCTGGTGGGACGTTGTTCAGGCCACAGATCTCCAGCAGCTGTGTGAAATCTTTTGGCTGCAGGACCATAGGGAGGTCACCTGGATGCGTCAGAAGCGGAAAACGGTCAACATTGAAGGAGGGGCATTATTACCATGCGGTGATGAGGGGTAGCAGTCATGCTGAGGCCCCAGACTTAAATCCTTAGGTGTGCCTGCTGCAGCACCTGGGGCTGTTGCACTTTGAGGCACCAATCCAGTGTTCAACCTGGTCTTCAATCTTGGGACTATGCTGGACCTTCTGAACATGGTGGCAGGCCCTGACCTCAGTGAAGTCACAGTATGAGGACAGCACCAACTCTGAGGTGGAGTGTCATGAACTATCTGCTCCTGGGTAACTTTGAGTACACGTGTCTGTGCCACTGGCTCCCGCTTCATCGTGGTATATGGTGACGCCAAAGAGGGGTTTTTCCATTTCCTTAGTTTGAGATCAGACTTCACTTCAAAGCTATTTTCACATCATTTTAAAGATATATGCTTCTACTGTTCCATAGAATCAGTTTTGAAAAAAGATACGGACATTTGGAATATGTGTGTGGAATGTCTGATGTTTTGAAGGGGTAGTAGGTAGAATGTTGGTTCTATGCTCCTTTTCTAGCTCAGTAAAAAGTATGAAGCCTGGGGTAATCACAGCTATTTACGAGTGTTACAACATTCAGGATCAATCATTCCACCAGTTTCCTTTTTCCTTCTGGTGCTTGGGTAGACAGTATGATTTCTGCCACTGAAGACAAATCTGAGAAACCCAGGTTGAGCGTAAGATAGTATCACATTTATGTTTTTTTGAGATTTTAAAATAACCTTTATTTGTTTTTCAGTTAACATGTTCATTACAGGAAACAAACACATGAAGCAAAGAACAAAATATGCCATAGCCACAAGCCATACAGTTGGAATGTCCTAAATGCTACATGTACACACAATGATCCATCTTAGGCAACTGAGATCGTATGGTCTGACGTGCTTGTCCACACATTGTGGATGCTCAGCAACACAAAATCCCGAAGCTACATGAATATTTTGATAACCAAATATGTACTGTACCCACCCAACCTGTTTGAAAATAATGACAATCCTGCATTCCTCGGGGTCAAAAATTTCACTAAAGAATGAAATGGCAGCAGCGCTCTCTAGGCAGAAGTGTTGGCAGAATTACAAGATTGCATTTGTATAATGCTGCCTTTACTGTGACACATAAAGCCACCAAGTACACTAAGCATAGTTTCTAAGACCATCCATTGTGACATCTATAGGGTTAAAATATTAGCAAGAAGGCATGTTCCAATGAAGTAGTGTATCTCTGTCGTACAGCCAGAAGCTACGTGCATGTCAATGGCTCTTATCAAACTGTAAATCTGAGCACACCTGCACATTTCTCTCCCTGTGGACTTTCTTCTGACCCACTGCTGCCAGCCTAATGAACAAGTACTATACACACCGCCTGGAGGTAGTGACAATTCAATGTCCAAGATGCATCTCTTCTGTTTATTATAACCTATTTACAAGTTGAGTAACTCAGTAGCTCTACTTTTTATCATACCTTGTCACCTCAGGAAGCATATAGTTAGATGTTGTATCAATGAACTCTGTGAACAATAAACACGAATACTTTAATCAAAAAAAAAAGTGTCAGTGCAATTTTGATGGGGACCTCATCGAATGTGGATTGCTTCAGTGGTATAGCCGTTTGCACAATGTTGATTCTGCCAACCAGGAGCTGGGGGTGTCTTCTCTCCTCTAATGTCTTCATTGATTTCTTTCTCCAGTGATTTCTAGCTTTCACTGGATAGGTCTTTCACTTCCATTTTAAATTTGTCCCTCAGTGTGTTAAATTTTTGATGCTTTGTGAATGGTATTTTCCTGATTTGTTACACTGTTTGTTGTCTGTGTACAGAAATGCCAACTCGTGTACTGAGTTTGTATCTGGCTACTTGGCTGAATGTGTTTATGAGCTCTAAGAGCGTTGTGGTGGCATTTCAGGGTCTCTGAGCTGTAAGATCGTATCTTCTGCACACAGGGATAATTTGACTTCTTCCTTACTTGGTTTTTGGGGGGGCTGTACTGGGGTTTGAACTCAGGGCTCTTGCTTGCTAGGCAGGCACCATACCACTTGAGCCACTCCACCAGCCCCTTCCTTCCTATTTGTATCCCTTTCTGAAGTCTGATTGCTCTAGGCAGGTATTCCAGCGCTATGCTCAATACGAGTGAGGAGAGTGGACACCCTCCTCTCAGTCCTGACTTCAGAGGAAATGGGTTGTTTTCCCCACTTAGTAGGATGTTGGCTATAGGTTTGTTATATACAGCCTCTATACTGTTGAAGAATGTGACTTCTATCATGAAAGGGTGTTGAATTTTCTTGAAGGCTTTTTCTGCATCTATTGAGATGACCACGTGCTTTATGTCACTGATTCTGTGTGTGTGGTGTACTATAGTCATTGATTTGCTTATGTTATGCCATCCTTGTATCCCTGAGATGAAACCTACTCGATTGGCGTGTGATCTTTTTAACTGTGTCGTTGGTTTTGTTAGTATTGAGGATTTTGCATCTGTGTTCACCAGGATATTGGCATGTAACTCTTTTTTTGATGCGTCCTTAGTTGGTTATTAGGCTAATACTAGCTTAGTAGAGTGAGTTTGGCCTATTTCTGCCTTTTGTACCTCATGGTGTAATTGGAGGAGCACTGGTGTTAGTACTTCCTTAAGGGTCTGGTAGAATTCGGCAGTGAATCCATTCAAACCTGGCCTTTTCTTTCTTGGGAGGCTCTTCTGTCTCAACCTCATTACTTGTCATAGATCTGTTTAAGTTTCTCATGTCCTCTTGGTTCAATTTTAGTGAGTCATGTGTGTCAAGAAATTTATTTCTTCTTTTCAAAATATTCCCGTATGATCTTTTGAATTTCATTAGTGTCTGTTGGAATATCCCCCTTGTCACCTCTGATTTCATTAACTTGGATCTTCCCCTTTCTTCTTTTACTTAACGTGGCTAGGGGTTTGCCAAGCTTGTTTATTTTTTCAGAGAATCAGCTTTCTCTATCGTCACTGTTCTTTTGGTCTCCAATTCGTTCACTTCTGCCATGGTCTTTAAAACTTCTTTCTGACTCCCACTTTGGGAATTGGCTTGCTTTTGGTTTTCTAAGAGCTTGAGAGATATTATCAGAGCATTTATCTGGGATCTCTCTAGTTTTCTGATGTGGCTGCATCCCACAGGTTCTTGTTTTCACTTTAATGTAAGAAATCCTTAGTCTCTTTAGTGACTAATTGATCATTCAAGTGTGGTGTCAATCTCCATGAATGTGAATTATTTTTGTGATTTTCCTTGCTGTGGATTTCGAACTGTATTCCATTATGGAATACAGGGATTCCATAATGGCACGGGATTACTCTCATTTTTTTATTTGTTGAGATTTGCTTTATGACCTAGGATGGAATCTGTTTTAGAGGACGTTCCATGGGCTGCAGAGAAAAATGTGTAATTCACTGCCATAGGATGTAATACTCTATAAATAATGTCTGTAAGACTGTTTTGTCCATGGTACTATTTAGTTGTATGGTACCTTTGTTGATTTTCTATCTGGTTTCTGCCTGTTGATGAGTGTGGGGTGTTGAGAGGTCCATCATTTTTTCAAATAGTACTATATAAATGTCCATTTTCAGGTTTTAATAATTGTACTATGGACTTGTGCGATGTTAACAGTAGGGGACCCCCTAGTTTTGCACCTTTCCTCTAGGTCTAAAATAACTCCCTGGAGCGTGACACCCTCTGCGGGCTGGGCAGTCCGAGCCCCTTGTTCTCGTCACTACCCGAACTCAGAGTCACGCCTTGTGCTGCTCTTCACTAGGGCGGCTGGCCAAGCGTGGCAGTTCGTGTGTGACGCTCACCTATGACATCCTCTTTCATTCTACTCAGGGTCTTGCACTTGCTAGGCAGGTGCTGTACCACTTGAGCCATGCCCCAAGCCCTTTTTTGTTTTAATTACTTTTCAGATGACTCTGAAATGTTGGTCGGGGCCAGTCTTGGACCATGATCCTCCTACCTCTGCCTCCCTCGTAACTGAGATTACAGGCATCCTCATTTTGCCTGGCTTACTGGCTGAGATTGGGGGGCAGAGTCTCACTAAGTCACTGACTTCGGGGAGACTCCATCTCCCAAGTACGTGGGATTACAGGCATGCATCACCCTACCTGGCCGTGCTCTGAATCCTCTATAATAAACACAAATTACATGCAAGAAATTCTAGGTGAACAAAGTGCAGTACCACCACAGCAAACAGTGTATTTATAAAAATTACGTCTTTTATTCATGTGTCTGGGTTTTAAAAGTTGTCTTTTTATAAGAAATATTTCATATTTTATAAATATTTCTTTATAAATATTTATATTTACAAATATTTATATTTATAAATATTTGTATATATAAATATTTCTTATTTTATAAGAAATATTTTATATTTCTTGTTCACTTCCAAACAAAATGCTCTGTTAATAAAATGAGGTGACTGTTTTAAATAATCAAAAGAGTCTGTGGCCAGACATTGTGGCTCACACCTGCAAGCCTAGGTACTGAGGAGGCAGAGATGAAGAGGATCACAGTTCAAGGCCAGCCCAGGCAAAATTTCTTGGGACTCCATCTCAACCAATGGCAATATGGTGGCATGCTGTGCCAGGAAAGTACACAAAGGAGGATAGTGATCCAGGCTTGTCTGGGCATCAAGTGAGACCCTATCTCGAAAAAATAACCAGCGCACACACGAAGTGCTGGTAGAGCAGCTGAAGAGGGAGTGAGCCTGACTGGCCAGTGCAAGGCCTTGAGCTGAAACCCAGTACTACCACCACCCCTGGAGAAAGAAGGCTGGGAGTGTAGTACAGTGGTACAGTGCTCGTTCTTCATGCACTAGATCCTGGGCTCAACTGCCAGTACTGAGAAAGCAGAACTAAAAATTCAGAAAACAGCCCTGGCTAACTTCCACGACAGACCTTGCATCTGCACTGTTTTATTAGAGTACAGATTTTAATGAGAAAAAGATCAAAGTACACTTTTCACCTACCTTTTCATTTTTTATCGTTGCATACAGGTAGACCTCAAAAGTGTCTTCTTCCACAGCACATAGTTTGGCTTCCACTTGGGTGGTTGCTAAGTGACATAAATGAAGAGCTGCTATCAAAGGCACACTTGAGCCAATGGTGGCATTCCCAGCTGAGTCTCTTGCTACCACATAGTGTCCCTACCAACAAAGTGGCCAGCAACGTCTGCATGCAGGATGGGCTCCCTTAATAGAAGGCATCTGGGGTGACTGTGCCACAGAAACAGCTTCTGCTGTTTGGTCCTCATCAGCAACATTCTCTCCCATCAACCTATGAATACCTCAAGGACATTTTGGGGCCCTCTCTTTTCTCTCAGTTTTTCCCAAATCCAAACTTTCATTCACACTCTTCCACATGAGCTCCATTCTATCCTCCATGTGCCCCCAAAATTGGGCATCTCAGTAATGGGTCTTCGGAAAGAATTCCTTGGAGCACAGTGTTTTCTCTTGCATCAGGGGACACAAACGTGACCTCACAGGTTGTGTTGACCCTCACTGCTTACTGAAGGTCATGTGGGCTGGGTTTTTCCATTGTCAAGTAAGTTTCTTTTTCCCTTTCCATACTCTGTTCTTTTGGAGTAAGTCACAAAGTCCAGCCGGGTTGTATCTTTAAATATGATTGCTGCTATTTTAAAACTGTGGCAAATCTGATGTTCTGAGTGGCAGCTGCTTCTTGAGTCAGGGACTTGGCCAGGCCCCCCAGGTCACACTGGCCACCCTGGCTCACTTCTCATCACCTGCCCCAGGGGACACCTGCCTCAGCCTGTCCTCGGCCTGGTGAGGAGGCTGGTGCCATTGTACAAAGCCTCCAAGTTGCAAAATTAGCAGCAAGCTTGGATTCTAAACTGTTCGTGTCCTTGTTGGGTAGCAGAAAGAGAAACTGTGAGTTTCATTTCTTATTTGTCATCAGACAACTTGGAAGAATGGTTGGAAAAATGTCGCTTTAAGAGAAAGGACCCTTGGACTGCAGGTGTGGCTCAAGCAGAACCTTGTTTAGCAAGAGCAAAGCTGTGAGGTCAAACTCCAGTTCACCAAAAAGGGGGGGGATATACCCATATATATTTCTTTCTCTCTTCTGTATGTATATGAGAGAGAGAATGAAAGAAAATGTGTGTGAGATTGAGAGAGCAAGGGAGCGAGAGAAGAGACCTTATCTGTCCCCAGGGTCCTTTAACCATGGCAGATCTCTGGAAACTTCTTAAGCTCCAGGACAAGTGTCCTATCACCTATCAGCTGCCCTGATGAGCAATCATGACCAAACTAGAGGGGGAGTGTCCTGGAAAACGCATGTCCTTCACAGCCCCCTCCTTTGTGGTGAGAAGGGGCTCATGTGGTATGTGTGTGTGTGTGATGTGTGTGTGTGTGTGTCTCTTTGGCGCATGGAGAGGCACAGGCCTGCAGTGAGATGGGGTACCCCTCAGTTTGCATCAGCATGTGGGGAGTGGGGGTGGGGGAAGGGCACATTGAGGTGTCAGTTATCTGGGTCAAGTGCACCAAAACCCATGTTTTTTTTTTTATTGTTCATATGTGCATACAAGGCTTGGGTCATTTCTTCCCCCTGCCCCCACCCCCTCCCTTACCACCCAGTCCGCCCCCCCACCTCCTCAATACCCAGCAGAAACTATTTTGCCCTTATCTCTAATTTTGTTGTAGAGAGAGTATAAGCAATAATAGGAAGGAACAAGGGGTTTTGCTGGTTGAGATAAGGATAGCTATACAGGGCATTGACTCACATTGATTTCCTGTGCGTGGGTGTTACCTTCTAGGTTAATTCTTTTTGATCTAACCTTTTCTCTAGTTCCTGGTCCCCTTTTCCTATTGGCCTCAGTTGCTTTAAGGTATCTGCTTTAGTTTCTCTGCATTAAGGGCAACAAATGCTAGCTAGTTTTTTAGGTGTCTTACCTATCCTCACCCTCCCTTGTGTGCTCTCGCTTTTATCATGTGCTCAAAGTCCAATCCCCTTGTTGTGTTTGCCCTTGATCTAATGTCCACATATGAGGGAGAACATACGATTTTTGGTCTTTGGGCCAGGCTAACCTCACTCAGAATGATGTTCTCCAATTCCATCCATTTACCAGCGAATGATAACATTTCGTTCTTCTTCATGGCTGCATAAAATTCCATTGTGTATAGATACCACATTTTCTTAATCCATTCGTCAGTGGTGGGGCATCTTGGCTGTTTCCATAACTTGGCTATTGTGAATAGTGCTGCAATAAACATGGGTGTGCAGGTGCCTCTGGAGTAACCTGTGTCACAGTCTTTTGGGTATATCCCCAAGAGTGGTATTGCTGGATCAAATGGTAGATCAATGTCTAGCTTTTTAAGTAGCCTCCAAATTTTTTTCCAGAGTGGTTGTACTAGTTACATTCCCACCAACAGTGTAAGAGGGTTCCTTTTTCCCCGCATCCTCGCCAACACCTGTTGTTGGTGGTGTTGCTGATGATGGCTATTCTAACAGGGGTGAGGTGGAATCTTAGTGTGGTTTTAATTTGCATTTCCTTTATTGCTAGAGATGGTGAGCATTTTTTCATGTGTTTTTTGGCCATTTGAATTTCTTCTTTTGAGAAAGTTCTGTTTAGTTCACTTGCCCATTTCTTTATTGGTTCATTAGTTTTGGGAGAATTTAGTTTTTTAAGTTCCCTATATATTCTGGTTATCAGTCCTTTGTCTGATGTGTAGCTGGCAAATATTTTCTCCCACTCTGTGGGTGTTCTCTTCAGTTTAGAGACCATTTCTTTTGATGACAGAAGCTTTTTAGTTTTATGAGGTCCCATTTATCTATGCTATCTCTTAGTTGCTGTGCTGCTGGGGTTTCATTGAGAAAGTTCTTACCTATACCTACTAACTCCAGAGTATTTCCTACTCTTTCCTGTATCAACTTTAGAGTTTGGGTCTGATATTAAGATCCTTGATCCATTTTGAGTTAATCTTGGTATAGGGTGATATACATGGATCTAGTTTCAGTTTTTTGCAGACTGCTAACCAGTTTTCCCAGCAGTTTTTGTTGAAGAGGCTGCTATTTCTCCATCGTATATTTTTAGCTCCTTTGTCAAAGACAAGTTGGTTATAGTTGTGTGGCTTCATATCTGGGTCCTCTATTCTGTTCCACTGGTCTTCATGTCTGTTTTTGTGCCAGTACCATGCTGTTTTTATTGTTATTGCTTTGTAATATAGTTTGAAGTCAGGTATTGTGATACCTCCTGCATTGTTCTTTTGACTGAGTATTGCCTTGGCTATTCGTGGCCTCTTGTGTTTCCATATAAATTTCAGTAGATTTTTCAATCTCTTTAATGAATGTCATTGGAATTTTGATGGGAATTGCATTAAACATGTAGATTACTTTTGGGAGTATCGACATTTTTACTATGTTGATTCTACCAATCCATGAGCATGGGAGATCTCTCCACTTTCTATAGTCTTCCTCAATCTCTTTCTTCAGAAGTGTATAGTTTTCCTTGTAGAGGTCTTTCACATCTTTTGTTAGGTTTACACCTAGGTATTTGATTTTTTTTGAGGCTATTGTAAATGGAATTGTTTTCATACATTCTTTTTCAGTTTGCTCATTGTTAGTGTATAGAAATGCTAATGATTTTTCTATGTTGATTTTATATCCTGCTACCTTGCTATAGCTATTGATGATGTCTAGAAGCTTCTGAGTAGAGTTTTTTGGGTCTTTAAGGTATAGGATCATGTCATCTGCAAATAGGGATATTTTGACAGTTTCTTTACCTATTTGTATTCCTTTTATTCCTTCTTCTTGCCTAATTGCTCTGGCTAGGAATTCCAGTACTATGTTGAATAGGAGTGGAGATAGTGGGCATCCTTGTCTGGTTCCTGATTTTAGAGGGAATGGTTTCAGTTTTTCTCCGTTAAGTATAATGCTGGCTGTAGGTTTGTCATATATAGCTTTTATAATGTTGAGGTACTTTCCTTCTATTCCTAGTTTTCTTAGAGCTTTTATCATGAAATGGTGTTGGATCTTATCAAAGGCTTTTTCTGCATCTATTGAGATGATCAAGTGGTTTTTGTCTTTGCTTCTGTTAATGTGGTTTATTACGTTTATTGATTTTCATATGTTGAACCACCCCTGCATCCCTGGGATGAAGCCTACTTGGTCGTGGTGAATAATCTTTTTGATGTGTTGTTGAATTCAGTTTGCCATTATTTTGTTGAGGATTTTTGCGTCAATGTTCATTAAGGAGATTGGCCTATAGTTCTCCTTTTTGGAGGTGTCTCTGCCTGGTTTTGGGGTAAGTGTAATACTGGCTTCATAAAATGTGTTTGGCAGTTTTCCTTCCCTTTCTATTTCGTGGAACAGTTTAGGGAGGGTTGGTATCAGTTCTTCTTTAAAGGTCTGATAGAATTCAGCAGAGAATCCATCAGGTCCTGGACTTTCTTTTTGGGGAGACTCTTGATTGCTGCTTCAATTTCATTTTGTGTTATAGGTCTATTCAGGTGATGGTCATATGTATCTAGAAATGTGTCCATTTCTTTAAGATTTTCAAATTTATTTGAATATAGGTTCTCAAAGTAGTCTCTGATGATTTCCTGGACTTCCATGGTGTTTGTTGTTATCTCCCCTTTTGCATTCCTGATTCTACTAATTTGGGTTTTTTCTCTCCTCATTTTAGTCAGGTTTGCCAGGGGTCTATCGATCTTGTTTATTTTTTCAAAGAACCAACTTTTTGTTTCATTGTTTGTATGGTTTTTTTGGTTTCTATTTTGTTGATTTCAGCTCTTATTTTTATTATTTCTCTCCTTCTATTTGTTTTGGGATTTGCTTGTTCTTGTTTTTCTAGGAGTTTGAGATGTATCATTAGGTCATTGATTTGGGATCTTTCAGTCTTTTTAATGTATGCACTCATGGCTATAAACTTTCCTCTCAGGACTGCCTTAGCTGTGTCCCATAGGTTCGGTAGGTTGTGTTTTCATTTTCATTGACTTCCAGGAACTTTTTAATTTCCTCTTTTATTTCATCGATGATCCATTCTTCATTAAGTAATGAGTTATTTAGTTTCCAGCTGTTTGCATGTTTTTTGTCTTTACTTTTGTTGTTGAGTTCTACTTTTACTGCATTGTGATCAGATAGTATGCATGGTATAATTTCTATTTTCTTATATTTGCTGAGGCTTGCTTTGTGCCCTAGGATATGATCTATTTTGGAGAAGGTTCCATGGGCTGCTGAGAAGAATGTATATTGTGTAGAAGTTGGATGAAATGTTCTGTAGACATCAACTAGGTCCATTTGATCTATTGCATATTTTAGATCTTGGATTTCTTTATTGATTTTTTGTTTGGATGACCTATCTATTGATGATAATGGGTGTTAAAGTCTCCCACAACCACTGTGTTGGCGTTTATATATGCTTTTAGGTCTTTCAGGGTATGTTTGATGAAATTGGGTGCGTTGACATTGGGTGCATACAGGTTGATGATTATTATTTCCTTTTGGTCTATTTCCCCTTTTATTAGTATGGAATGTCCTTCTTTATCTCATTTGATCAATGTAG